TATTTCCACTTTGGACAAAAATATCCTCCCAATATGCATATTTTTTTAAACAAAAAGTGGGACCCATTATTGATGTATTCAAGGATGCTTTGGTAATTTTCCTATGATGAATTCGTTTTGTTTGTTGTTTAATTTTTTTTAAATAATTGTATAAAATATTATAAATCACAACAATTATTTACTTAATTATTCAAAAGATATAAAAATATGTAAAAGATTTGATTAACTCTTCAAATTTTACCAGTGATGCATAAATTGGACAAATGAAATAATATATATTATTTGAAAATTACTTAGAAAGTACAATAATTTACAGTAATTAACAATAGAATATTTTAAAGACAAAAAAAATTGATTGAATCTCGAAATTTTATTAGTACCACATAAATTGAGAAAGAAGAAATAACCTGCATTATTTCAAAATTGCGTAAAAGATATTACAAATCATACAACAATAATTAGCAATTTAGAATATTAAAAGACATAATTTTGTTTTTACCATAGTTAACAATAATTAAAAATTTAAACTATTTTAAATTAATATTAAAGTTTGATTAACTCTTTAATTTTATCTTTGTCACATAAATTGATATAAAAAATGATACATATTGGGCCCGTGCTAGCACGGGCTCCGATGTCTAGTAATAATATATGGTACAAATTGGAAAAATCGTCAGTCCATTTGAGAAAAAAACGAAGCAGCTGCAAAGTCAAAAAAAAAAAACATCAAAACCTGTATACACTTTTCTCCAAGAACTCAAATTTGCTCAAACCCCAATGGAATTTCATGTATATGAAGCCTCAAATCAACACCCAAAGAGAAGAAAACCCATAAATCATGGTAAAGATTCAATCTTTATAACCCCTTTTTATCTGCCATCTGAGCTCATCAATAAAATCCTCTTAAACCTACCTGTAAAATCACTAATGAAATTCAAGTCTGTTTCAAAATCTTGGCTTTTTTTAATCTCTAGTGCTGAATTTATCAACACCCATCTCAGTTTATCTGTTAATAACAAGGATTTCAAACGTCATAAGCTTATATTGAGGTTTGATCCACCTTACTGTAGTCTTCAAGACTGTTCTTTTAGTTCTTTATTTAGTTGTTCTGTTACTGAAGCATTTGATTTGGATTATCCTGTGAAAAACTGCAATAAGTTTCTTTCGATTGTGGGTTCGGTTAATGGATTGATTTGTGTTGCTATTGAAGAGAAATATTTGTTTATATGGAATCCGTCGATTAGGAAGTGTAACAAATTGCCTGATTCTAGAGCTAGTATGAATGGGAATTCATGTTACATGTATGGTTTTGGATATGATGAGATTCATGATGATTATAGGGTAGTGGCAGGTTTTCGAAGTTGGAATTCTTGTAAGGTTGATATATATAGTGTGAATAAGGATTCTTGGAGAAGTATTGATGATTTTCCGAGTGGGGTGTTGTTTATGAAGTCGGGTGTTTTTGTGAATGGGAAACTTCATTGGGCTTATAGTGCTGTTCAGAGTGTTATTTCTTATGATGCTTGGAGCATCATTTCTATTAATTTGCCTGATGGGAAATGGGGAAAGGTGGAGCAACCTTGTTATGGAGAAGGAGTTTTTGATTTTACGATGGGAGTTTTGGGAGGTGATCTTTCTGTGTTCTGTAATTATGAGAGAATTCGTGCGGATGTGTGGGTTTTAAAGGAGTATGGGGTTAAAGAGTCTTGGACTAAGATGTTTACCATCAATCTTCCCTATGATCCCGTAGGTTATCAATGTTGTCCATTGTTTTGCTTGTCAAATAAAGGTGGAATTTTGTTTCAGTTTGGATCAACTTTCATGATTTACAATCCCAAAGATGACTCGATAAGATATTCAGAGATTACCTGCTATAATGCCTTTTATGAGGCATACATCTTCATTGAAAGCCTAGTTTGGCCCATTTTGACGAAACCAAGGATGCAACAACAACCAAGGCTAGAAAAACTTAGATGAAGACAATCGTGTCATTAGTAATTTAGTAAGAGCTCTCTACACATTTTTCTCTAGTGCTGTTAAATACTGTTACATTTCCAAATATAAAGCAAGACATTGAACCATCTATTCCCAGAGATCTTGTTATTTTTGTTTTTTTTTTCTGTTTTGCTTCATGAGACAACAATTTTTTTTGCAAGAACAATAATTTGGTTGAAGTACTTGGTGTCTTTGTCTTCAAATTAAGTGGTACTCTACATTGATTATCTTCTTGAGCGGTAATTTGAGGGGATGTTCTGCCTCGAAACAGAGTTAAAAATAAAGAAAGCACCACAAATATGGAAATCATGGCAGGTGAATTGTGACAATAATGCGTAGGTGTAGCACTTGCCAGGGTTATTCTTTGATATAGAGGACTTTATTAGGGGGAAAGGTGGAAATATGGAACAAATAACAGTTAAGGTCTAAGGTATGACGCTTTATCTAGTTTATAGATTGTGGTTCAAATTTGTTGATTTGCATCCTAAGTCAATGTAGCCAAGCTATACAAACAGGAAATAATTATTTCAAGAAACAATCTCAGGAGTTTATAGATTTGCATTGTCTTAATTGTGGTTCAAATTTGTTGATTTGCGTCCTTCATGATCTATTAAACTGAGGAAGCAGGGGAGAAATATAGTGCATGCCAAAGTACTTGTTGTGCATCGATGGAATGATATGAAGGAGAAAAGCGAAAGTAGTCAAAAAGGTATAATGTGGAAATCTTTGTGAGTTAGATTTACTAGAGCTAGAGACGGACACGGTGAATTTCCAGCTCTAGATCATCCAATTACCCTTTTTTTGGCAGCATTGTGTGTTTGATCTGCATGAGTATTACTAATGATTTGTCTTTAACTTTTATTCTCTTAATATCTTTAATAGACTGTGTACCACTTGAAGTTGCAACATGTTCCATCTGTTTGTGTTCATTGTTTAGAAGTTGAATGGAACCAATTTGACATGCCTCAAATGTCATTCATACTTCGTAGGGAACTAGAGCTTGTTTTTTTGTTGCCTAAACAAGACATTCAGTTTCTATGTGTGATTTCTGTGTGCGGATAGCCCTGCATGTCTTACTCTCGTTATGTACTCAGTTTTTTAGTTCTGAGGCGCGTTGTTAACTGTTGTGTACTATTGAACTTTCAGGAAGTAAATGCTGATGTTACAAACAACTAAATTACCCCGTGCTGAGTGCCGAGTTCATGGATTGCAATAAAGAAACATGACTTTTTCCGAGTTTAGACTATTCATTGCGATGTAGTAACGTTATTTTTTGTGTGCATAGAGCAAGACTTAAACCATTCAAGGTGAGAAAATATACACCTGTAAATTTCAAAGACTTCTGGCTTCTTGTTAATGGAAATTTCTATATCATTTTCACCTATTTCAGTGATGAGTTCTGTTGGCACTATTTCCTTGTTTTAAATCTTTGTACATATACTAAAACCCTATTACTCTTTACTGAAAAATAATTTATTTTTCTAGTCTTTGGGAGTTGGTTAATTTCAGCACATTTTTAGGTTTTTCAAGTTAGTATTATCTTATAAATTGTATTCTAGATTAAATTTTCAAGTTAGTATTCTTGACTGATCAAATATTTTGGAAAACATTTTCTCTTCGGAAAGCAAGTTTTACTACTGACATTCCACATTGAGTTAGAATGAATACATCTTAATACATATAGCTTCAAATTCAGTTTATTCGTTCTTGAGATAAAATAAATTCATCATAAAAATGACCTACATACATGTTAAAATTATTGTTCATTTCCATGGCAATATAATATAAGGAATATATGCTTTACATATACATTGCTTGTTCTATGTTCGAAATAACAAACAGAGTTTAACAACACTTGACAAGAAAGTACTCTTACAAGTTATTTGTTACTCGATTTCATCCTCAAGGACAAACTAAGCTTTCAACGTAGATTTCATTCGCGTCCCATTTATCAGAGTTAATAACTTCTGAATATCTGAGTGAGTCATCCTTTGGATTGTATATCATGAACTCTCCCTTAATCACAACCAAAATTTCACCTTCATTTGACATGTGTAAACATCTTTGCCCAAGATATCCACTCCTCGGTGTATATTTGATGGTAAACATCTTTGTCCAAGATTCTTTAACTCCATACTCCTTCATAACCCAAACATCTACGAGAAGCATGTTACAATTACAAAGGACTGAAAGATCACTTCCTAATACTCCCACCCTCAAAGCAATTTCTCCTACGTCATCGCAGGGTTGATCCATCTCTCCCCATTTTTCGTCAGCCAAATCAATAGAAATGATGTTTGGATCCCTATACCCGTCACAAAATGTAGCCAAATCGGATTTCCAATAAGTACTAGTACTATCCCAATGAAGTTTCCCATTCACAAACTTACCTGAAACATTAAATTGAGCCATTCGTGGACAATCATCAACACATCTCCAAGAATCACTCTTTAGACTATACATTTTGACCTCAAACTCACGAATCATGTTAGTTTCTATCTCGTTAAAAATAACTACCTTGTAATCATCATGGACCTCATCATATCCAAAACCATATGCTCGCCTAGGACCACCTTGCGGAGGCAGAGATGTTCTAGGATCAGGCAATTTCTTGTGCTTCCTAATTGACGGATTCCATAGAAACAATTCCTTGTCGTCATTGACAAGACAAATCAATCCATTGATAGAACCTAAAATAGAAACATCATATCGATCTCGCTCCCATCCATAGGATTTGGTGGGATAATCCAAATCTTTTGCCTCAGTAACACAAGACTCATTAAATAAAGAGGTAAGACTACAACTTTTAAAACCATAGTTAGAAATACATCTCATCATAACCTTATGATGAGTGTATTCCTTGTTATTAGCATTTAAACGGAGATGAGTTTTGACAAATTCAGAGCTAGAGATTAAAGCAAGCCAAGATTTCGAAATACATTTAAATTTCAAGAGGGATTTTATTGGAAGCTTTAAGAGGATTTCAATAACGAGTTCTTCCGGCAGAACAAGAATTGAATCTTGCATTTCCATTAGGATTGGAAAAGTTTGAGTGGTAGGTTTATGTGTAAATTATATATAATGAAAAACAAGGGCATTTTAGACCTTTAAAATAGGAATGGCAGCGGTGCAGAGCGGAGCGGGGAGGGCTTTGCTAAAGTTTAGCTCGGCCCCGTAGATTCAGCCTTGCCCGCCCCGTTTTGCCCCTATTTACATTTTCTAATTTTGTTTAAAAAAAAATAATATTTCTTTCAATTTAATTATTTTAACATCATTTTTTATTTTAATCTTTTTTTTAGTAAACTTTTAATTTGTCAATTATTTTGTACGGGGCAGAACCATGACTTAGCAGAATTGTTTCTAATCACATAGTATCTAACTCTAATTAATCTTAATTCTCCAATTATTTAGGATAAGTTTCATCACTAATCTAGTTTCATTATGAGATTAACTTCTCTTCCACTAACAGTGGACAACAAAATTACACTCTCAGATCATTTTTAGAAATACTAATTTCCTTTAATATGTTCACATATTATTAATATTTAAATTAAAAAATTATTATATTGTAACTTAAACTCTAAATTAATTATAAGAGTTTGTTGAGGATTCTTATTTGGTTGTTAAACTTAAACTCTAAATTAATTATAAAAGTTTGTTTAGGATTCTTATTTGGTTGTCAAAAATAAGAAGGATTCTTTCATCGCTTTCTTGTCCTCGTTTTTTTACCTCGTTCTTCCTCAACACCATAGAAGCAATTTGAGACAATCCTCATCAAGTAACTTTTTACCCCTTTTTTCTTTTTAAAATCTAGACTAATTAATCTTATAAAATAATAATTCATAACTTATTAAGTGTTCTTCGCAACATGAAAAAGTTTTTGAATTGGTGCTTCTATTGCTTCAGACTATATTTTCTCTTCTTAGTTCATTCAATCAACAATACAAAAATTAATTTAAAACAAACTTTGATTCATATACTATCATACGTACTCCAATTTATTTAAATAATACTCAAAGTCGATAGTATCAAAAATATTTGAACATTCTTTCAAAAATAAATCTTAGATATGTAAAACTTATTTTAAAAAATAAAAAATGTAAGAAAAAGAGAAGCTGAAAAATCATTAATCTTTAAATGTAAAAATATAATAATTAAATTAAAAGAAATTAGTATTTCTAAAAATGAACTGCAGTGTAATTTAAAAGAAATTATATCTCAAACTGGTACTTAATTTGATGTATATATATATTTGGGAGGATAAAATAATACACCAACATGGAAGCAAAAGTGCTAAGTCATATATACTTGGACCTTCTTCCCCAGTAATATTAACACTATTCTCGTAGTTTGTTGATCTTCAATTTCGTCCATCACTCATATTTTTTGTGCTCCGATTATTGCATTTCATATTGTCGCTATTGTTCTTTCTTTTGTTTGTTGTGTTATACTCTCCATTTCGCATTAGAAGTAGTATAGCTATTGGGTTCTGATCAAGTACGAGTCGTAAAATCTCATGATGTCTAGTTATGCATTTTCAAAGTTGAAGTGATTATTTACCAATCGAGGCCAAGTTTGAGTGTGTTTATGTATTATATGGTGCCTATTGTTATTGAAGACTACAAACACCTCAATTATGGAATGATGTTATGATTGTTTAAATATCAATGAAGGATAATATAGTTAAAAGTCTTTCCTAATTAACGTTTCTTAATGGACGCGTAGAAGAGAATCACAACAAATAACATGAGGGAGGGGAACACCCTTAAGAAAACTAGTTAATTACACTAGTCAAAGATCAAGTTACTCCATTCAGTCACTTTTACTTGTTACGTTTTCTTTACGAGAGTTAGTTATATATTAGCAGAAAATCCAAAATTAGATAATATGCCAAACTATCCTTGTTTCCAGAATGGTCAACTTTTCACCTAAAACGGAGAAGCCACGTGGATCGAACAATAATCATTCACTTTTACTTGTTGTTTTCTCAATTTTTTGCAACACAAATGGAATGTGAAGCCTCCCATCGACACTAAAATCGGAGCACATACACCACCAGTGCTCCATTTTCTTCTACTTCAATTGATCAAGATTTAAGCTTTGAATTCCCTATTCTGCCAACAGAACTTATCAATGAAATCCTCGTTAAGCTACCGGTGAAATTCAGGTGTGTTTCCAAATTCTGACTTCGTTTAATCTCTAGCCCTGATTTTGTCAAGGCCCATCTCATCATATCTGCTAATAACAAGGCCTACCACATGCTTATGTTGGGGTTTGATCTACCTGAAAACAATCTTAAGGACTGTTCCGTTAGTTCTTTACTTTCTGACCATGTTACTACGACAATTGACTTGGATTATCCTCCAAAAGAATCTCATCAATCTACTAAGATTGTAGGTTCCGTCAATGGGCTGATTTGTGTTGCTATTGAGAAAAAAGACTTGTTTCTATGGAATCCATCAATTAGAAAGCTCAAGAAATTGCCTGATTCTGAAACTAGTTATGTTTTCTCGTATGATTTTGAATATGATGAGCTTCATGATGATTATAAGGTAGTGGGTATTACCCGTAGTGTGCATGACATCTATTCACATTCTGATGTGGACAAAATTTATAGTCTGAATAATAATTCTTGGAGTTGTTTGGATGATTTTCAAACTGGGATACCATTCATGTAGCCAGGTATGTTTGTGAATGGGAAGCTTCATTGGGCTATTACTACTAAGCGTTTTAGTAATAATAATTATTGGGACATAATTTTTGTTGACTTGGCTAATGGGAAATGGGGAGATATAGAAAAACCTATGGGCGGAGAAGGAAATTTTGTTTTCATATCGTGCCTCAGTGTGTTGGGAAATGATCTTTCTATGGTTTCTAGTCAGCTTATTAGTCACCTAGATTTGTGGGTTATGAAGGAATACGGAGTTAAATAATCTTGGACAAAGATGTTTACCATCAAGTATCCTGATGATCTCGTGGGGCATAGTTTGGTTCGTCCACCCTTTTGCATGTAATATCGCATTTTATTAGTTGCTTAAAGTCAAGTTCATCGTGACTACTGTTGAACAAGGTTCACTATTATATGAAATATCAAGTCGAAATTGATCTGAACTAGACGTTGATCTGCCCTTTGCTACTTAAGATCATGATTCGTTCTAGTTGTAACGATATCTTAATCCACGAAAAGGATTGAGATATCAAAAGTGTTCTTGAATATCAACAATGAGATGAAACTTTGGCTAAATACATACAGTAATTTGTCAAAATTGAAAAATTTGGAAGATAAATTTACATTCTTTTGTCATTTATGTTGAGTTTGTAAGCTTGTTCTTGATTCCATTGATGTGCTCATTATGTTTGTTTCTAACATTATTAATTTATGTATTTGAAATAACCAATAAGGTTTACAACGAAATTTAGAAATCGATCATTGATCAAATTTAAGTACCTGGAGGCAAAGGAGGGGAAGGCGGCAATGTATGAGGAGGGGGTTGTGTGTGTAAAGAGTTAAAATATATGTCATTACTCGAATTAGTCAAGGTGCGTGCAAGTGGCCTTAAGACACCACCGTTATATCAGTAAAAAAAATAATTATGGCATTAGCACTAGCTAAAAAAAGTATATATTCATCCTACATATTTCGTAAAACTTGAGGATTATTCAAGTCGATAAAAATAAATTAAAGTTATAGAGTAATCGCACGACTTGAATCTTCTTAAGAAATAGTTAATATTTTGCTCATTAATTTGAAAAATTATTCTTATTATTCTTTTATAGGCATAATTAGGGGTGTGCATTCGGTTTTTTGGTTTTTGGTTTTGAAGAAGTGTAACCCAATTCAAACCAAAATAAATTTGGTTTGGTTTGAGTTTTTTCGGTTTGGTTAATCGGTTATGTCAATAATTAGAAACATAACAAAGTTATATTTGCAATTTAAATTTATATATATATATATATAATATTGAATTTCTTAAATATACTTTTAATATAAATCACAAGTAAAACGTAAAACACAATACTTAAAAGTATATCAATTATAGATGTCCAAAAATAAAAACCTAAATCATAATGAAAATAACTAAAAAGAGACAAAAGTGGCTAACTCCAACTTAATTCTATATATATATATATATATATATATAGAAAAATCTTGTAAAACAGTATAAACAACTTAGTTCATTAAAGATAAAACAATAACAAACTCAACTTTACTTATATATAAAAGTAATATAAC